TCAGCAATAGACAAAAATGTCCCACTTAAAAAAAAAAAAAAAAAAAAAGAAGAAAGGGGGAAAGCCTGTCGAGGTGGCGTACACCTGTAATCCCCGCACTCTGTGTTCCCAGCACTTGGGAGGCAAATCTCTGTGCCAGCCTGGTGTACAAAGTGACTTCCAGGACGGCCAAAGCTTCACGGAAAGACCCTGTCTCGGTCCTGGAGAGATGGCTCAGTGGTTACGAGGATTGACAGCTCTTCTAGAAGACCGGAGTTCAATTCCCAGCACCCACATAACTCATAACTGTCTGTAACTCCTATTTCGTGATGTCTAATGCCCTCACACAGACATACATGCAGCCAAAACACGAATGCACATAAAAATAAAATCTGAAGAAAAAAAAAGAGGAAAAAGTAAAAAAAAAAAAAAAAATCCTGTCTCAAAAAACAAAAAAACCAACCAAACAAACAAACCAAACAGGTTGACAAAGACCTTAACTAAATTTAGAATAAGAGGTTTTTGCAAACCCAGACATAACCTTCTCCTTACAATTCTCCCAGCTATGACTTCCCTCCTTAGGCTGCAAGCTAAGACTCAAAGTCCCTTTACCATTATTTGCATGTACTACATGTATTACAAGTGGATACTTTTTTTTTTTTGGTAGGTTTTCGAGACAGGGTTTTCATGTTTTTTTGAGACAGGGTTTCTCTGTGTAGTCTTGGCTGTCCTGGACTAGCTTTGTAGACCAGGCTGGCTTCGAACTCACAAAATTCCACTTGCTTCTGCCTCTGCCTCTGCCTCCTGAGTGCTGGGATTACAGGTGTGTGCCAGCACGCCTGGCTGCACAAATATATACTTCTAATCTCCCTCCTCCTTTTCAATCCCACCCTCCCTCCTTAAATATATACTTCTAACCTCTCACTTTGTATGTGTGTTCACCCACATCCTCATCTCCCCCGCCCATATATGATGGAGGGAAGGGTGCTGGGGAATGGAACCTCGAGTCTAGCTAGCACATGCTAGGCAACCATTCTGACCAGTGAGCTACAATCCTAGCCCACCAGTCCATACCTGTGCTTTCATCAAGTACTTCCATCCTGCCCATAGGGTAACCTTTCTTCAGAGAGGAAAAGGAGATTAAAATATAGAATGGTACCTCTAAAAATTACTGGGGTGAATGGTTCTTGGTCGAACTATTCCAAGAATGATCTCTCCAGCTTTCAGTGGCCCTGTTCAATGAAGGGGACCCCTAGTGTGACCTGTTTACTCTAACCCTAGACACTCCCCATCGCTGCACCCCTCAGACATCCTGCCCCATCTCTGCAGGTTGGCAGGAAGTGAAACTCTGTTTAGTAGGCCAGCCTTCCGCCCAGCCCTGGGCCCCCGGATGTGTACCCCACCCAGCGGTGGAAGAGGAGGCTGGGAAAACAGGCTTGTTTCCCTTGCCTTTGTTCACTGTGGCTTCTCTCTCTGACTTTATGATGTGGTTGATTGAAGAGATGAGCACCTGGAACTACAGGCATTAGATGCCTTCTCAGATGCTTGCTTGCCTTCCCCCCACCCCACCAACAACTAATTTGGAATATGATGAAGCACAGGTCCTAGCGAAGATAAAAAGATGCTAAAGTAAGACTAATTTTTTCTTAGTCTTTATTAGAGAAATCATATTCCAACTGATTTTTTTAAATGTAGGAGAGTCTTTAATTTTATGTAAGGACTGATTTGAAGAGTAATTCAGGACATAGTATTCCTTAAATGGAGTCTTTCTTCAGGGTGATCAAGAGCTGAGGAGCTTTACATACATCTAGCCAACATTTTTTTGCTTCAGTCAACGTTTTTGCTTATCCTACAGAACCAAGAACAAGATGAGGTATGAGGAAGCCTTCAAAAGTGTTTGTTGAAGCCAGGAGGGTGGCCTACCTTAGTAGCACATGAGCAGCTAAGTCAAGATAGCAAGTTCAAGGCCAGCCTAGGCTTCATACAGACTGAATTCTTGTCTCAGAAAAAAAAAAAAAAAAAGTTTATAGCCTAAATATACGGAGGCTATATATGAGGGGAGGTAAAGCTTTGCTAACAGTGAAGAGGGTCCCAGCACTCCAGAGGAAGAGGCAGGCAGACCTCTGAACCTGGTCTACAAAGCGAGTTTAGGACAGCCAAGGGTACAGAGAAACCTTGTCTCGAAAAAAAAAAAAGCAATAATAATAGTAATAATAATAGCAAACCCCATTACTCTAGACTCTAGAAAGAAGTTCCTTCAACAAGCTTGTCTCTAAATATTTGCGAAGTGCTTAGTTCTCTGTTCCACTAGAGGGCCTAATGCAGTCTTTCTTTTTTTCTCTCTGACTCTCACAGGACCCAAATGTTTCTATCATGAGGTGTGCGCATCTGCCTAACACAGACAGAACTACACACACCTCAGCAGGCTCTCCTCTCACTCCTTTCTACTCCCAGATGTAAGGGGAGACAACGCTGTGAGCTCTGCTACTCTCCTCCTTCAGAGAACGATAGGAGGGAGTTAGTCAGGGTTGGGGCGGGGCCGGGTCCCCAGTTGCTACCAGTAAATCCCCAGTCCTGGGTCGCATTGTCTTAGCAGCCTCACACCATCCATGCTGCCCCAAGAGTCCTGACAGCTCCACCCAGATTCCAGGTAGGAGGAACTGAAAGGCTCTGTCTTCAACCGCTACCTTTGCCCAGGCCTTTCTGTGCCATCTGCCAAGACCAGAGGGCAAAGTGCCAGGGTTGGGTATGGAGAAGAGGTGAGCACAGACAACCATGCTCTACGCACCTAAGCCTCCACCCTGGTCTTAAGGAAGGGATACGGATTCTGAGAGAAATAGCTGTGCACAGACAAGCCTGAAGGGGAGCTGAGGAACACGGAGGCGAGGTGGGCGATTGTCTCCGGCAGGGTCAAGCCTTGCGCAGCCACGTGGAGAGGGAGCTGTACCTAGGTCTCAAGTTGTGAAGTGTGGGACTCTGGACTTGCCCCTCTGGGTTCTCCTGAATGTGGAGTCATTGAGTTGGGCAGGTGAGTACAAGATAACGATTCGGAGACTGGAGGGCCGACCAATTGCTGACCAGTTGATGGGTGGATCCAATCAAACCCTGACCCTTAACTTGGCCTCCTGGGGAAGGGATGATGGGAGAGGCTGTAATCAGAAAGAAGACAAAAATAGACGTAGAGCTGCTCCAGGCGTGGGAAGACAGAGGCTTGGAGTGGAGAAAGTGGCACAAACCAGAGCCCTGGAGATACTCTAGAACCAGGAGCAAGTTGGCCAAGGCGGTGGTCTCGGGAGCCACGGGAGGGCAGGGCTGGGTCGGGGGAGGGCAGTGTGGCGTCAGGATCTGGGCGGCCCCTCGGCGGCCCCGTCTGTCTGGCCCATCCTCTCCAGCCCAGCTCCGGCTCCGGCGCCCCAGCTCCGACCGTGCGCTCTCGTGGGTCACGGGGAGAGCCCCGCGAGCCCCGCACCACTCGCACCCGGGCAGCAGGGCCGCGGGAGGGGCCGCCACACCGGCTGGGCGAGGGCTGCCGCGCCGCGTCCGGCAAAGGAAGAGTTGACAGCTGGAGCCGGCTGCGGGAAGGTTCGCGCTGGGACGCGGGGCTCTGCCGTGGGCTGAGAAGACCGGTAAGCGGCGTTTCCCCAGACCCTCCCCCGGCCCCGTCCTTCTCGCTCGCTCGGGTAGTGGGGAAGCTCCGCTCCAGGGGACTCGGAAGACAAGAAGGGTTCTTCTTTGGCCCCCATCCTTGCCACATCGGTCACGGGGAAGTTTCTGAAAAGACTGAGTGGGAATCCCACTTTTCAGCTTTAAATATGAGAAATGAACCTGACTCCTGAGGAAGAGAAGCAAATACTATTGGTCCTATCTATACAGCCTCAGAAAATACCAGCCCACATCCCCCAACCATGCCAACATCGTAACTTCCTCCTGTACTAGTAGCTACAACACCTTCTGAACAGGCACCGCCGTATCCACGCAACACAATTATCTCTGATGTTCGCGGTGATTTAATGAATTCTGATACTTCAAGACAAAAAAAAAAAAAAAATCCCTCTGACTAGTAGCAGGGATGGGGCGGAAAGAATGGACCCTCAACCCTGGGCAAAGGGGGGGGCAGGATCTCTGATAGGGTTGAGTCCAGCTGGCTCTGAGACTAGGAGCACCTGCTCTGTGAAGTTTCTTGCAGGGACATTCTGAATGTCCTAGAGACATGGCTAATTCTTGGATAATGGTGAACTTAGAAGTAAGCAATGGCATGAAAAGGAAACTTCAAATGTGGAAACCTCACCTCTTTCATAACTGCAGTTTCAGTATTCAATGTTTAAAACTAGATCTAGAGAATGAGAGGCACCGAGTCTTGGTGGATGGACTATGGACAGGTTGTCTAGAGTCTGACAGTAATCCAGAGCCAAGGATGTTGTAGGATTCTTTCCCTCCAAGTCAGTTTCTTTCAGTCTCACCCTAAGTTGGTAGAGGTGAGTCGGGAAAGCAGGGGAGGGAAGGAAAGGGTGAGTCAGCTGGGGGTAGGGCCACAGACCCACCCTTCCAGCCCTGCATTTGTCTGGACTAGCCCAGATTATAGCCTCAGGGTTGGGATGAAGTTGAAGGGCAATTTTGGATTTATTCCAGGTTTTTAAGGCCCCAGGATTCTGCAGTTCGCTCCTCTCCAGGCCCAAGGGCAGCCATACTGTACTCTGACAGAAGTGAGGGCACTTGAAGCCCCATGTCCAAGGTTCCAACCCACAGATGTCCCTGCCTCTACCGTTGCTAGCCGCCTTCTCACTTCTGAGAGGCAAATTCATGATCTGGTGCTCCTACATGCCTGTACATGGCACAAGTATTTTTGCTTTAGGTTGCAGGGTTTCACTCCTGGTAGAAGTCACAAGAAATTTTGAGTTTTTAAAAGTATAAAAGTACACTTTTACACTTAAAAGCTTAAAAATATACTTTTTCCTAATATCCAAATGTGTTTCCTTTTCTCACTTTTTTGGGGGGAGCTAAGCTGACCTTGAATTTACTCTGTAGCCTAGGCAGGCCTTAAGCTTTCCATTCCCCTGCCTCCGTCTCCTGAGTGCTGGAATTGCCTATACCACCATGCCTCGCCAGACATAAAACTATTCTCTGTGTATTACCATCTATAGTACTGGCTGATGTTTATTGAATTCTTATTCTGCGTCACACAGTTTGCTATGTATAATTGCTTTATATAAATTTACTTCAAATCCGCTCTGTGATTAGTAGGTACCTAATTATTGATACAACTAGGCTAAGGTGTATAGCTCAATAGCAGAAGGCTGACCCAACATGCGTGGGATCTTAAAGCCCTGGGTTTGATTTCCAACTTTAAAAAACGTAACATGGTTCAGTGAGTGAAATGACTCATCCAAGACCTAGGATTCTAACTTGCACCTAATTCAAAAGTCCATTCTTGAGCAGGGTGTGGTGGCAATCCCAGCGTTTAAGAGGCTGTGACAAAGAGCTACATATTGAGACCCTGGCTCAGAAAAACAGTAAAAGGAAAAATGTTCTCGGTTTTCATTATATAGTGCCTCTCCAGGTGTGAGACCTGGGGAGCCACCAAAGGGGTCGGGAAAAGTTGAGTCACTGTGAGCAGTAGTGGGGAGAAGTGTCTTGACCTCTTTCCCTTTCATTGTCCCTCGTTTGTTCTCCCTATCATTTTCTCCCTCTGATTCCATTTCCCAAAGCTTTCAGGAATCAGAGATGCTCCTTAAGCTGTTCAAGCCTTACCGATAATGAGACTGTTCTATATTCATCACTCTGTTGGAAGAGAGGATGGATGGGTTAAAGTCATTGATGAAGGCCAGGAAGGCAAGGTCCTTTCCTCAGGTGTCACTGTCCTAGAAGACCCATTTCAAGGGTTCTCAGAGAACCCTTGGAACACAGATGTTGTTCTGCATAGTGTAGGACAGCAGATATGTCATGGGCAAAGGTTTCAGGGGAGAGCTGCTGCCCTCAGAAAGGAAAGGGCTGGCCTTTCTTGTAGCCCCAACTGCTTTTCTGTTCCCTGACCAACGAGCCCTAAGTCAGTGGGATAGAGATCAGTGTTTTGTTTTGGAGTCAAGGTCTCATGTAGCCCATCTGGCCTTGGACTCCTAATCTTTCTGTCTCCATCCACTTCCTAAATACTGGGACTATCAGGCATGCATCAGAGTGCCTGGTTTATATGGTATTGGGATTGAATTTGTGTGTGCTAAGCAGATATTCTACCAACTGAGCTACACCTCCAACAAGGACCGAGTGTTCGATGGAATACTTCAATTTAGCATCAGTCACAAATATAACAGCTATTTATTTAGAACCTACTATGCACCCTCGAAATTATCTTATACTTTTCTGACTGCCAAGTGGATGCTCTGTGGCATCCTGTTTATCCAAAATTGGATTAGTAGTACCCCCCCAAATGACTATCCAGGCTTACAGAAACATTTGTACAAATGATATTGAGGATTCAGTCCATGCTGAGTCCTGTTTTAGGTACTAAGAATAGAGTAGGAAAGAAGACTGACAAGGTAGGGCCTGCCTTTGTGGAACCAACATTTTGGTAGAATATGAACATTAAAGAAGGGATGATGTGGAGGAAGAGTCACACTGAGATAGAACAGGAAAACTAAAGACACAGAGGCAGCAGGTTTACCTGAGTTTCAGGCCAGCTTGGGCTAATGAGACCCTGCCTCAAAAAAAAAAAAAAAAAAAGAAACTGGCTGGAACATCAAGAAAGTTCTCCAGGAGAAAATGGTATTCTAGGTGAGACAGAAGCTGGATCTGCCAGGGAGAGGGGACCTGTCCTAATCACGCAGAACAGCAAATACCATGCTGATAGACAAAACCTCGCCGTGGTTGAGAACAAGATGGCCATGGGGCTGGAGAGCAGTGTGCACCGGGAAGCAGGACTGAGGAAGCGTCTCAACTGTGTTTTGGGGCTAGAGCCTCACACCTCTGCTTATCAGTTGCTGTCTCAGCCCTCTACTTCCTTGAGCTTCAGTTATATCTTCCTTCTCCTCTCTTCCTCTTCCTTTTTATCTTCTCTTTTATATGTGTTTATTTTGTGTGTCAGAGAGCAACCTTGTGGAGTGTGACTCCACAGTGGTTTTCTTTCTTTTTTGTTGTTGTTTTTTGAGAAAGGGTCTCTTTATGGAACAGCCTTGGCGATCCTGAAACTGTCTTTGTTAAGCAGGCTGCCTTGAACTCACAGAGATCTGTCTGCCTCTGCCTCCTGCATGCTGAGATTAAAGACATGTCACCAGGTTCACTCTGTCCTTTACATGGTTCTGGCCATGCAACACAGTTGCCAGGATTGTGCAGCAAGCTCCTTTACCTACTGAACCTTCTCACCAGAACCTCTTGGGTTTGTTTTGTTTGTTTTCTTTTCTTTTTTTAAGACAGGATCTCATTATGTAGCTCTGGCTAATGGTATGTATCCTCGAACTCTGAGATCCATCTGCCTCTGCCTTTTGAGTCCTAGGATTAAAGGCATGCACCGCAGTCACCTGGCTTATTTGAGTCTTTCTTCCTTCCTTCTTTCTCTCCTTCCTTCCTTCCTTCCTTTCTTTTTTCTTTTTTCTTTTTTTTTGAGACAGGTTTCTCTGTGTATCTTTTTGGCTGTCCTGGACTCACTTTGCAGACCAGGCTGGCCTCGAGCTCACAGAGATCCACCTGCCTCTGTCTCCCCGACTGCTGGGATTGCAGGCATGTGTCACCACACCTGGCTATTTGAGGTTTGTTTTTTTTATATATATTTATTTGTTTGTTTTATGTATATGAATGCTCTGTTTTCATGTACACCAGAAGAGGGAATCAGATTCCATTACAGATGGTTGTGAGCCACCATGTGGTGCTGGAAATTGAACTTGGGGCCTCTGGAATAGATTAAGGTGGCTCTTAACCACTAAGCCATCTACCCAGCCCGCCGAGGTATTTTTAATATATTATTTCATTTAACTTTACAACTGTGAAAGGTAGATACCATTCTCCCTGTTTTGCAGATGTAATTATTGCAAACCACAAGCCCATCACAGCCAAGAGCAGAACCCAGTTAGGTCTGATCAGCTCAAGTCCTCAGCAGCCCTGTACTGTTTACTTCTGTAAAATATGTAATTACTGTTGTCGATTGCTGTTATTAAATAACCAAAGTGTGTTAGTGTATAGCACAACCCAGGCCCTGGATACAATAGCTTATCCATGACAGTGGTTCAGACACGCCTGTGGCTAAACCAATTTGACGCAGCCTGGTCTACAAAGCCAGTTCTAGGATGACCAGTGGGCCACATAGTAAGGAGACCCTTGCAAACAAACAAAATAAAATGTCACCTTCTGCAGCTCAGTCCTTAAGGCAGGTATTAGTCAGGACCAGCAGGATGATTCCCGCTGGATTCCTGAGTCCAGTACCAAAAGGTGGGGCTCCAAAAAACGCTTCCACCCAGCCTGGTGGAAGATCGGGCATTGTAACTGAGCCTGCACCAAGCAACTCGGCAGTCCCGCACCCAGGAAACTGGAGTCTTCCTTCCAACCTCCTCCAGTCCCAAAGCCCCCTCCGGCCCGTCAGAGCCCGGAGGGATGTGAACGGGGCTAGGTATGATCCTAGCCACCGCTAGTTCTGCGTCACGTGTCCGAAGCGCTAGAGGTCGTTGCGGGGGTGTGGCTCGGGGCAGTGGTGGCTGGAGGAGGAGAAAGATGGGGTCTTGCCATGTGAGGCGTGTTGAGGTAGTAATAAAAACCTTTGGAAGGTAGAAGGAGATGGGCAGAGGTCACAGAGCCTGAGGTGGGGGTGGGGACTAAAAAAGGCCTGGAGTACCCCCGGGGAATTGGGGGAGTGGGGGTCGGTGAGGATGGTGTGGTGATAATAGTCAGACAGTCAAGACAGATGGAAGGAGAAATCCGAGTGAAAGAAAGACACAGAAATGAAAGAAAATGTCAGAAATGAGTCAGAGAAAGGAAGACAGGACCGGCCTTGTCAGGGAGCCTTAGAGACAGACACAGGGGAGAGGAATACAGGGAAAAGAAGCACACGATGCAGATGCAGACAACTGGTCCTTATCCATGAGAGCTCTGGTCTTCCCCCAGACTTACCGTCTGAAAAAGAAACCCAAGAAGCTGTTCTACCGGGCTCTCTTTGTGATCATCCTTAACAGGAGAAGAAGGATGGCCAAAGAAAAGGGCCTAATCAGCCCAGAAAACTTTGCTCAGCTGCAAAAGTACATGGAGTGTGAGTCTCTCCCGGCCCTTCACTTCTGGAGAGTTCCTTCTCATCCTGCTTCACTACAGTGTCCCAGCTACCTGGAGCTGGTCCCCTTCTCACAGAGCCCACTTCTGAGGCCTCAACTCTCTGAGGGACAACCCCCCCCCATTTCCCTCTGCCTGACTGCTTCAGGCCTCAAAGGAGAAAAGAGGGATACAGCTGTGGAGGAGCTGAAACGTTCTTCCCTTCTTGCCATTTCTTCTCTCACCCGACCCTTTTTGGCCTGTAGATGTCCAAGTGGAACTCTGGCGGAGGGCCAGGCCATCGTCTTGTTCTTATCTTCCTCTCCTCTCACCCAGACTCCTCCAGAAAGGTCAGTGATGTCCTGAAGCACTTTGATGAGGGTGGTCAGATGAACAGATATTGCGAAGGAGATGTAAGTGGCATGGGACCCTCTCTACCAAGATCCCCAACCTCTGGGAAGTTTTGTGGGCCCGCTTCTTGCTTTCTTCCCTCTAAATACCCCATTGTTGATTGTTACTGCAGCTATTGCTTTAGAACAAAACAAGAGTCCTAGTAACTCAGGAGACGGCCCAAGAAACCATACTTCTGCCTCTCCTGCTTGTCAGCACTGCATTTATTGTCTACCTCCATTACCCTCCATTCCTCAGCCCCCAGCTTCTCTAGCCTGCAGACTCCCAGGGTAATACTCACGCTCCTTCCTTCCTTCCTTCCTTCCTTTCTTTTCTTATTGTTGTTGGTTTTTTGAGACAGGGTTTCTCTGTGAAGCCTTGGCTGTTCTGGACTCACTTTATAGACCAGGCTGGCCTCAAACTCACAGAGATCCACCTGCCTCTGCCTCCCTGGGAGCATAGGTGTGCGGCACCATGCCTGGCATGATACTCAACTCTTTTCATAGGCCATTGGTTACCTGGGATTTGAGCAGTTCCTGAAGCTCTATCTGGAAGTGGAAGAAGTTCCCCATCGCCTATGCTGGGCTCTGTTTCGTTCCTTTGTCACTAGTCAGAGCTCCGAGGACACTGAGCTAAAAGGTGTGATTAAGCAGATAAGGCTGGCCTGGGCCTATGGAAAGAATGTCAAAACAGTTTGAATTTGAGAGTTGAAACAGTCACATATTATGGGCAGGTCAAAACCCAGAGAGAGGTAGAGGGTGGTATCATGAGCTATTAGCTAGGAAAAAGAAAAAGAGCTGATAAGCGTGCGCGCGCACGCGCGCGCACACACACACACACACACACACACACACACACACACACACACACAGTAAAGGGGAGCCTGGCCTTGAATCTGCTGTGCTTTCATTTTGTAGCCAATGTGATCTGTCTCAGTGATGTCTCCTGCTACTTTTCCCTCCTGGAGGGTGGCCGGCCAGAAGACAAGCTAGAATGTGAGTTTGCCGTTCTGAGCAGGAAAAAAGGGTGGAAAGGAGAAGGGGAAAGGAAAGTATTCCCCAGACCGGAAGGGTATGATCAGACAACAGGCTATTCCCTCTGCTCTCCTGACTGCTATCCCAATGCTACCCAACCAGTCACTCCATCCCATGTCTTATTCATCCCTGTGTGCATTGCCTTGGATGTTCACGGACACAGAAGTGTGTGCTGTCTCTGTCGCATCTCCAAGGCTGCCGTGCATTGCGGTTTTCCCTATCTGTTTTACCTATATGTGACGGTCCTGAGCTTCCCGAGTCCTGGGATTACAAGCGCCCACCCCGAGCCTCCAGTCTCCCTTTTGCCTCTGTCCTGTCACTGCCCTTGTCAACTTAAAGCTCCCTTCCTGTTGCTTTATTTCTCTTGTTTTCTGAATGCTTGGGATTTGTTTGCTTTGGTTTGTTTTTTGTTGTGTTTAATAATTTTTTTTTTTTTGAGAGAGAGGGTCTCAGTGTGTATCCTTGGCTGGCCTGGAACTCCCTATGTAGACCAGGCTGGCCTTGAACTCATAGAGATCTGCCTGCCTCTGCCTTCCAAGTGCTGGGATTACAGGTCCATCATGCCTGGTCTTGGAATGAACTGTTTGGACCACTCTCATAAACTGACCTGGTTCCTCCAAACACTTCACAGTCACCTTCAACCTGTACGACATGGACAGAAATGGGATCCTGGACAGCTCAGTGAGTTGTGAGACATGTGTATTGGGAAACTGTCCATCTGCCTGTGCTCTTACACCTCCACTTTTCCAGGGTCTCCAGAAACAGAAAAGGTTAGGATTGTAGTTCAGTGGTACAGTGGGAGGAGACAATGGTGTGTAAGACTAAGTATGGAAATAGTAGTTCCCAAGAGCTTGGCCTCCAAAAGAGCAGGCTGGAGATGTGAAACGTGCTAACATTTATCTGTCAGAGGCATCTGAGAACTTGAGGTAAATTGGCAAGTGGAATACAGGAGCTTTGAATTCTCGAGGAGATTTGTGTAGTGGTGATAGTAAGTGACTATGGCTTTTACCCTCTTTGGCTCAGGAAGTAGAAAAAATTATCCTTCAGATGATGCGTGTGGCCGAATACCTAGACTGGGATGTGTCTGAGCTGAGACCGGTAAGGCAGCTCGTCCCTTTCCCTCCTGCACCTTCCTCCCTGCAGTCCTGCCTCCGGCTTGCCTCATCTTGACGGGTGCCTGGTTCCCTCTGCTGGAATGACTGTTGGGTGTCCTAAGGGACAGTGGAGAGGGGTTTGGGGCCACTCTCAGCACGGCCTTTCCTACTCTCCATGCAGATTCTTCAGGAGATGATGAGCGAGGTTGACTATGACGGCAGTGGTTCTGTCTCTCTAGCCGAGTGGGTCCGGGCTGGGGCTACCACGGTGCCACTGCTCGTGCTTCTGGGGATGGATATGGTGAGTGGAAAGGTTTGTGAGGTAGGCCTGCAGCTGTCTCGGGAGACCAGTCTTCTGAGAAGTTGGTGCCCTCCGTGACCTCCTAGACCATGAAGGATGATGGGCAGCATATATGGAGACCCAGGAGATTCCCCAAACCAGTCTACTGCAACCTATGCGAGCTGAGCATCGGCCTCGGCAAACAGTGCCTGAGCTGTAACCGTGAGTGACGATACCTGAGCGTGGAGGGGGTGCAGGGAAGCCCGGCGACTGGTTGGGACGTGATGCTGTGAACTCAGGAAACACATATGATTCTGGGAAAGCAATATAACTTTCTATCTTTAATTATTATTATTTGTATGCTGTGCTCGGATTAAAACCCAAACATGTATCTTTTCTTAAAAATAATCTTTATTGCTAAAAAAAAAAAAAAACTTGCAGGCAGATGGTGTGTGGTAGCGCAGTCTCTGTGAGTTCAAGGCCAGCCTGGTCTACACAGTGAGTCCAGGCAAGTCAGCGCTACACAGAAAAAAGTTTTCTCAAATAACATCCTCCCCCCCCCCCAAAAAAAAAAAAACAAAAAACAACAACAACTTGTAAATAAAAAGACATGACTTCACACTGTAGCTCAGGCTGGCCTGGAACTATATGGCCAAAACTCCCAACAGTCTTTTTGCCTTAGTAGTGGGAGTGGCTGCTGCTGCTTCCTCCTCCTTCTCCTTCTTGTTTCTGAGACTGGGTTTCTCTGTGTAATCTTTGCCCTTGCTATGTAGACTAGGCTGTTCTCAGGCAGAGATGCCCCTGCCTCTGCCTTCCAATTGTTGGGACTAAAGGTGTACACCACCATACCCAACTTGCCATAGCTTCTTGAATATTGACATTATTGAATATTAAATACTGAATGTTAAAGAGGTGAGTCAGCATGCCCAGTTTTCATGTATTTTCTTTAACCTTTAGTTTTCGTGACTGAAAAAGCAGATCATTGTACATGGTAAATATGTTGGTGCTGTTATTGCTAGCACATGCCTGCAGTAACAGCATTCCTCATAGGTAGGAGGATCTGGAGTTCAGAGCCAGCCTCAATTACAAAGAAAGTTTAAGCCTAGCCTTAAGTACAGCCTGGGCTACATTTACCCTGTCTCAAAACACACTAACGGGCTGGTGACATGACTCCCTGGTAAAGGCACTTGCTGCCACATCTGACATTTTGAGTTCAATCCCTAGAACCCACAATGAAGGCAGGGAACTGACTGGAAAGTTGTCCTTTGATCTCTGCAGTCCATTGTAGCACATGCATACCCACACACATAAGCAAAGGCAACTAACTCATTAAAAGGAGCCTATTGTTTTGCAGTATATCAAAGATTCAATTATTTTATCGAAACAATTATTTTATTTGCAGCCTTGGGTGGCCTCGACTGGATATGTAGACTAAGCTTGCCTCAAACTCCCCGAGATCTTCCAGCTCAGGTCCAGCCCAGCACAGGGACAATGTGACAGATAGGCAGCATGTGCACTGTTAGGAGGGAGAGCCGGGGCTTGCCCTTGTTAGGAGGGAGAGCCGGGGCTTGCCCTTGTTAGGAGGGAGAGCCGGGGCTTGCCCTTGTTAGGAGGGAGAGCCGGGGCTTGCCCTTGTTAGGAGGGAGAGCTGAGGCTTTTGTTAGGAGGGAGAGCTGAGGCTTGCCCTTGTTAGGAGGGAGAGCT